GATCATCAGCAGACTGTATGTGTGGGTGTGTATAATATAAACACAATCTGATAATCAGTAGTTTAACTAACTTTGTAGTATAAGCTGGACTGCATTCCATTTCAATCTCCTTATCTGATTTTCTATGGAATTGTAAACTACTACAAATTTTAACATTAATTATAACAAAAACATGTACCTCTTTTGCTTGATATTAGCTCTTTTATTATATACAACCAGTACCAGTATAATGATTATAGATACAGCCAATAGTGATGCTAATACTGTCACACCAACTATCCATCCAGTAATAGTTCCTCCACTATCCACTAATACAGTAGTTGACACAGTAGCCAATGGAGTAGCCAATGGAGTAGTCAATGCAGTAGTCATGGTAGTTGTCTCAGTAGAATATGAAACTATAAACATTAACTGATTAGTACATGTATCAATAGTGATGTGTTTACTAATATTGCTTTTATATAAACTGACCAATTATTTTACTTGTTGATGATGCTAAAATAGTGGCCGATGTGAGATCAATAGCAATGCTTGGTTCTGTAAATATTTTTTAAAGTGATAAAGTTTATTTAAAATTTTACTTGATTCATCAGGAGTTGATTGTATTTTTTGTCTAGCTGGTCCATTCATATTATAATTATAAGGTATTATACTCACAGTATAGTTAGTATATGGTATTAATCCTGTGAGATTATACATTCTGTTGTCTCCTCCAGTGATATTAACAGTATAACTAGTGTTTGAAGTGATGTTAGTGTATGTGAGGTAGTATCCAGTGATTGGTCCATTCCTTCCATTGCAAGGTACTTCATCCCATGAGACAGTCATTGACACTGACTCTACTGATGAGAATATAATATCATCCACTGGTGCAGTAGGGACTAGGAGAAAAATATAATAATAATAATAAATATTAAAAATTGTTTTTAACCATTAGACAGCGTAGTAGCTGAATAATTAGTAGTCAAATCAGCTATCTCAGCTCCATATACTCCACTAAGATCAAAGTCACATTGACTGTAAGGAGATATACCAGTTGAAGCATGTGGTGATGAAACTGATATTTCACTAGTACTAGTGAATGATGATCCACATACTCTCCTACATCTCCTTTTAATATTATAGCTAATTGGTACTACAGCAGTTGGTGGACTCCATGTTAATGTAATGGAAGTACTGGTAATTACAGTACTCATTAAATCATTAACCACTGGATCACCTAAATAATATATTATACATAAATTATTTTAACTTGATTAAGTTTACTTACTAAGTGTTTCCATAACTGAAGCATTACCACTAGGTAGAAAAACTGATCCATAAGATACTACATAGAAAGTGTATGTAATCCTCCGAATCAATCCTGATGTTATATTGATTGTTGTATAACTAGTGTTGGATACACTAACAGGAGTATCACTAGACAGTTGATAGTAGACCTCATAACCAGTAGCTCCTGATACAGTAGACCAGGAGAGTCTTACTTGAGCTAAACCAGTACTTAATCTTGTAGCAGTTAAACCAGTTGGAGTATCAGATACTGAAAATACATAGATTATTTATAGTATCAACAATAATAATCACCAACCTGATATATTCAATAATGAAGTGCTAGTAACTGCAGTAGGACCACTATTACCACTAATAGGTCCATTAGTTACTCTGGCATTGTATACAGTACACTGATAGTCACCAGCTTCTCTTTGTCTCACTGTTACTGTCACTCTTGTAACAGATCCTGATCCATTCACTATCACACGAGACAGTTCAGTAGATATTCCAGTCCCATTCACTGAACAACTGACAGTAGTAGGAGGACCATCAGAGACATCGAAACTGAGACTGAAGACTGGAGGAGTAGCTAATCTACTAGTGGAGAGGAGAGAGAACTGCATAGTAGGATCAGCATGAGGACCATCTGTAAAAGAAGTACATTAATTATAGTCTATATTCATCACATACCATTGTTATTGTATCCAGTATCAGTATATGCTCCAACCACTAGTGTTTGATTCATTCCATTCTCATCAGGAATGATACACTTGTATAAACCTTCATATCCTGATAGTCGACCTCTTCTAGCTAGTGCAATCTGACCACCGAATCTCTTACTAAACACTGGTCTAGGAGCTGATAGATCAACAAAGGATTTATCAAATAGAGGTACTTCAGTTCCATTAGGATAATACCACACTCCAATATTATTGCCTTTGTTAGCACTCTGACACCACAAAGCATCAGTGATATAGTCAGGGTTATTATTTTTATCATAATTGTAAAACTGGCTAGCATATATCATAGAGTAATCAGGCATTATCCTGTCCTCATAAGGAAGATACAGTTGAATGCCTGTATCATGATTCATCCAATAAAAATCAATAAGTTTGTATTCTTACCATTACTAGGCAGGTTTTTAGGTTCTTGTCCTTCAACTCTCAACAGGAGGAAGCCAGCAAGAAGAAGCAATGCCCTCAACATCTTCACAAAATGTACACAAAGATGAACAGCCAACAATATTCAATTTCATGTTTAGTATATAAAGTGTGTTTCTTAATTGTTATCTCACATGATTAAACATAAAGTGTATTTACCCCATTAAGAAAGCATGCAATGCCAGCTTATGCTTCCTTTACAAAACATGTGCATTCAGTTTGATAATAGTCCTTTGTTCTTAAGCCAAAACATGAACTGTCTTGTGACCATTACAGCATTGACTCATCATACACTGATAGTTTATTATAGCATGAATAAATAAATTTATTATAATACAAAGGTACTTCCCAAAAGAGCACTACTGTTTAGATTTAGGGCAGCTCTGTTGCAGGAGGAATAGGAAAAGAATCTGATGCAAGCAAAATTACTTGAAAATGATCATAAATATATGTACATAGATATACACTCTATAATGAAATAACACTGCATGACATGCATGACACACAGAGACACACACATGTATTCCACTGATACTAACTACTTGCAAATTATATATGCCTGTTTGTGGAGATGAGGCTAATTTAAGTAATTTTATTGATTTTCTTGCTCTGTTTCTACAGTGTTGTAGTTGTTCTGTGAAGGTTCAATTGATGCCAAGTCCAAAGGTGATTCATATATAACATCTTGTGGATTTTGAACTACTGGGGGCCTGTTATGTTTGTATTATTAATCTATATCATTTTTATTTTAATTTACTTACTCTAGGACAGCATAGTCATGTTCTACATTATTCTTTAATTCGATGGATCTGAAATACACAATATAGGAAAAATAAGTTGATCTATATTTTTCTTTCTTCTCTCTCTTTTTTTTCCACTTCACCTTTCTCTCTCTATCTCTTACTTGACACTATAAACTATCTTCTTCTTACAGCACATCCCAATCACCACACATGCCAATATCATGTTGATAAATAAAGAGATACCCAGTAGTGGGGATATGTATAAAGTTGATGTGTTTATGCATTCATTGCTCGATGCAGATGTAGGAAATGAAGTACCTAAATTTAGAAAATAAATATATTATTTTAGAGTGCTTTCTATTCATTCTATTCCTTTGTATAAATTTATATAGAGTACATATCAGTGTTGCTAAAATCAAAACTACATACAGTAAGGTAGACACAGTAAACATAATTACTTATCACTTCTGTGCAAGTAGAGGAAAATAGATCCACTGTTGGTAGTTCTATTACTAATAATTATGTAAATGTATTTTCAAAAAGTGATAATTGGAATTATTAAAGTTTACTTGATTCAGCA